CTGATGGCCCGGAGAGTCATTGGTTAAACTGATTCCTTTAGGAAAGAGAAAGAGCACACCTTCCTTCTACTTTCTCTCTCTATACAGTATTTACAATTTTCGTAACCTACATAGTAATAATAAAAATAATTAAAAATTAAAACAAATTTATAAAGCTTGGTCCCTATGGCAGCTTTAACGCTGGCAGCATTTCCTCGCTGTATTGCGATACTTATTCGTTGAGCAAGGAAAGCAGCTCTGGGGTCATCGGTACTATCTACCAGTCGCCAACTGTCCAACGGTCCAAGAGTCTCTACTCCAAAGAGAACAAAATCAAAGTTGGAGGAAAGACTCTTGTTTGAGCCGTTTATTATTTTCCACCTGCTCTGCGGCCGCTCCAGCTTTATATTTGACTCTGATGATATTCACAGTTGAGTATCTTATTATATGCAAACATAATTACAACTTACATATGTGGGAAAATAGTCTAGTCTTGTCTCAGGGCCCTATTCCGCTTGACACATTCCTGCCTTAAAAGTAGTACAGATGGATACTACATTTCGTCATGGTCATAGAACAATGTAAGATTTGAAAAAAAATCCAACATCCACTTTTTATCATATTTTTATACTATTAACTAAATATTATACTGTTGACTAAATATTACGGCTACATTAAAATAAAAATTCCATGTGTTGCAAATTTCAAATTAATCAGTCAGTAAATGACGGATTTGACAGCAACATGTGATTTTTCTAGAAAACTGTGTAATTTAATGTTATTATATTTATTTTGTTTCAAAACAAACCCTTTTGTTTGCTTGTATGCCAATTTTTATAATAACAGAATATGAATTAAAATAGTTATGACAAAAACTAGCATGATTATTTTATTTCGAAATGGCTGCCCTGTAAAGTTTACTATTCGTCAGATCCGTCACTATTCTACGACTATGACGATTTATCCTTTATACGGGCGAAAACCCGGAACAAAATTATTTCAAATATTAGTGTATTTATAAAAAAAAATATGACTAATATGAAAAATATTAGCTAACGAGGAAGTGGATTTTTCAAATAAATATAAAGGTTTCTTCAAAAAGTGAGGAAAAAATAATATTCTTAAATTATTCGGCGACAAATAAAAAAAAAACCCGATAACAATAATCTCTATATATTTTTTGACGTTAATTCATTCGTTATAATGCCGAGTGCACATCACTCACTAGAATGTAACACATTATTCTGCTTCGATGTTTAAAATGTAGGTGTAATGGTGACATTTGGGTATTGTACTAATTTTTTATTTTTATTATATTTTTGTAGCATCTCTTGACGTTATGTATAAATAAATTGTTTTCTTTTAATTACTTTGACACTATTTTGTAATTATTAGTAAATGTTTTCCGGAATTCAGTTTTATTCTTTATTCTACTTGTTTTGAATAATATCTAAGCGTACAGAGTCTCTGAATGTATATTTCTTTCTTCAATTTTAGTTAGTAAACCTAACGCACTGTCGTAACCATGGTAACAAACACCGTATTTAGTCAACGTTTATAATCATACCGCGTCTGCCAGATGGTTAAATTGATCTAAAACCTAGATTACAAATTACTGTTATTATCTAGTCAATATTTCTTTTATCCTGAATGAGAAACGAGAACTAACATTCATAAATTCCTACAATTGTTTCTTTACATAGCATAGACGGTAAATATTATATTTTAATTTATTTATTTACAGTTCGTTGTAAATCAATATAAAAATTTAACATAATTAAATGTAAAGGAGGGCAACTGGCGGCCTTATCGCTTTCGAACGATCTCTTCCAGGCAACCACTGTGAGAAAAGAAAAAAAAATTATTCAATAGGTAAGAAGTGCAAAAATACATATTACATATAGTTATTAAGAAAAAAAAGAAACTAAACTAATAAAGGATGCATAAAAACATAAAAAGTGCACATGAATCATGATAATTTAATTTAAGATCAGTCTTACGTCAGTTAGTAGTTAGTACGAAAGTTAGGGATACGATGTGGACAGGTCAGGTAATGTTTGTACAGATGAAATTTGAAGGAAGATAGAGAAGGAGCTAAGCGCATAGGGACTGGAAGTGAATCCCATAGCCTAACTGCAGAGACCTTAAACTACTCGCCAAGTAAGGTCTATATCATAGACGGTAAATATTATATTTGTTTTTAATATCCAGATATAAAATGGATAGCAAGTGATATATTACGTAGTATAATTTTTCCCCTATGAGAAAAAATATCAATAATTTCGATACATATATATTATATATACGTATAATACGTTCACCTTCGTTAAACGGTGTGTACCTGGCATGCTTCATCGGAGTTCATAGGATGCGGCGTTGCGTATAAAATCATAAGGACACAAAATGCTTTGCGTTTAACGAATGTGTTTCCTTTAGAGTAACAGTGACCAGCGGTTCTAGTATACGTGATTTAATCTAGTGACAATATGTTTTATGTGCTTATTTTGTTTTTGTTATTTGGGCGGAGTGCGTGCGTAATATATAGCTTAAATGGTGAGTTTAACTAGGATTGAAATCTAAAGAATAGTACATATAACATTGCTAAGATGTTGAATGTTCAAAATTGTAGTTTAATTGTCTCAATCTTAAGGCTTTAGGAGACGTTCGAAGCGGCTATGGCTATAAAAATAAAATAGAATAATATTATAAACATATACATCAGAAAATTTTAGAAAATAATATTTTGTATGAAATTATTGTACTGCATTTTATGTTGATATGATAACCAAAAAGAGGGATTTGGACATTTTACCTCTAAAATGAGGCAATGCTGTACGGAAGGAATGCTGTCAGGTATGCCAGAGAAAAGGTCTAGTTAGCTAAGAGTTAAAATGTTCAATAATTTGGTAGTTATCTGGAATGCTTTTCATATTTTAAAATTTGTGGATTTTCTTCATGTTGGACACACTCCCACACACTGCAGTTTATTTAATTAAAAGGCAGCTAAAAATAATGTTGTGTGAGTGCCGTTGCCGCGATAACACGTACTTACTCTGTCGCTACGATTTAAATTCAAATTGGAAAGCAAAAGTGAAAAATTATTCAAATTAACGAGATAGTGTAGTAATGTTATCAAGTAACTCACCAAATAACTTCATAAAGTTCTCTGAAGTCGAAAAGTGCCAAAACTTAAAGGATTAAATCTGAGTAAATTGTTCCATGACCTACGACAACATAGCTTACAAGTAACATCGAGTAGCAGTGGCCGCAGCGCCGTTTTCGGACCGGTTTGGAGCAGTGGAATTGCGTACAAGAACGATAAATAAAACTGTGCTTGCAACTGTGCTCGCTATAGAAATACAGCTGCGAAACTGGATGCGGCAATTCAATAGCCACATGACCACGGAGTAATAAAATTGATATATGGGTATTGTAATTCCGGTGCTCAAAGCTTAAGTGACGTGGTAGTGCAATCCTCAAACTTATTGTGATTAAAAATTGTTGCGAGTAAAAACTATTTTGAGTAAAAACTATTGGGATTAAAACTATCGTGATTAAAAATTAATAAACTGTTGTGATTAAAAATATATAAATATACGAATTGATGGACCCGGTGAATAGTGGTAAATACGTCTGAGCATTATTAGAAACGTCACAGTGATATGGGTTACATTCAATTCTAAAAACATGGAAGATCAATTTCAAATTCTGTTCGACAAGATGAAAATCGAAATGCAGAAACAGACAATGGAACTAAAAGAGTCTATAACTAATTCTGTCATGGAGAAAATAGATGAAAAATAAAACCTATTTTAGCAGAAAACAAAGATTTAAAGGAAAAAATAATGAACCTTGAAAAGGAGTTGGAATATTTGAAAAGATATAAGAAGGAAAACAACATAATTATTTTTGGATTAAAAGAGGAAGAGGAGTCTACGTCAGGATTAATTCAAGTGGTGAAGAAGATTTTTAATAAAAACTTAAATATAAAAATTTAAGATTTTGAAATAAACAAAATTTATCGCATCGGAAAGAAAAGCCCAGACGGAAAACCGAGACCCGTACTGTTTTCCTTTATCAATTCATGGAAGAAAAACGAGGTAATGAAAGTCCGGAAGAACCTCAAAGACATATATATAACAGAAGATTATTCTAAAGAAGTTTTGGAGAAGAGAAAAATGTTACAAATTAAATTGAAAGAGGAAAGAATGAAAGGCAACTTTGCATATCTTAGATACGATAAACTTGTAGTAAAATAAACTAATTCAAACAAGGAAAAAAGGAAGAGAGAAATGTCCTCGTCGCCGCTACACAATTCACAAGCTAAAAAGCAGCAAGCCCGGACATTACAAAATAATAGGCGCAACGCCTTTGATGTCATGAGAGGCAGATCTAACTCCCTCTCCTCCTGTAACGTGGATAATAGACAATAACAATTAGATATCGGCAACTGGAAAACACAACAACAACATAAAAATATAAGAAACCAAATAACTAAAAACCAACAACCTCCCCCAAACCGACTGGTCCTCGTGGGGGAAAATGACCACGATCCTCTAAAGATAAGAAATAACAGGAAGACAAATGACGATCTATATATAGCAACTATAAATTACCGATCACTAGGAACCATGGAAAAATTACAAGAACTAGAATTAGCATTAGATGAAATTAAATGGGACATAATTGGCATCAGTGAAGTGAGAAGACTTGGGGAAAGAACTGAAGACCATGGCAAATACATACTACACCATATCGGGGAGACGCCTGGACAATATGGAGTCAGATTCATGGTTAAAAGGAACCTCGCCAAAAACATACAGGAATTAAGAGGGATTTCAGAACGGATTGCACTTCTCAACATTCAAATACCTGTAGATGGAGAGAAAGAACAACAATGGTCTATAATCCAGGCATATTCACCTACCGAACCAAAAAGAAAAGAAGATACAACAAAAATTTAAAGATTTTACAAAGATCTTCAATCCACTGTTGCAAATGCATCAAAAAACATAATAGTCATGGGAGACTTTAATGGACAGATTGGTAAACAAAAAAGTGGAGAAGAATATACCATAGGAAATCACGGATCTGGCAATAGAAGTATAAACGGCTCACGACTAGTATCCTTCGCTATCGAAAATAAATTAAGTATTCTTAACTGTTTTTACAAAAAGAAACCATCAAAGAAATGGACATGGATCTCTCCTAACGGCCGGTATAAAAACGAGATCGACTATATAATGTCTAACAAGGTAAAAGTTTTTAAAGACTTGTCTGTATTAAATAACTTCAATTTTAACTCAGATCACAGAATGGTAAGAGCAAAACTCTCAGGAACACGTGCTAAGAAAGCACGTCAATTTCTCAACAACATGAAAGCCATCGAATGCACCGGTAACACTGATTTGCTGTTGAACAACCTCGAAAAATCCCTGATGGATGGGGAAAAAGAATGTATATCGACTCAAGACAAATACAACAGACTGCTCAATCAATTAAAAACAGAAACTAAAAAAGCAAACACGATTACTAAGACAACTATATCAATTAAAAGTAAACTATTATTACAAGAACGGAAAGAACTTATAGAACAAAGAAAAAGTAATACCAACAACAGCCAAAAGATAGCAGAAATAAGCAAAAAGATTAGCGAACAACTTAGGAAAGAACGGAAAACAAAAAGGATAACAACTTTAAGGAAATATATAGAAAAAACAGGAGGAATAAAGAAGGCGCTGAAAGAAATGAATTACAAAAAGGACTGGATTCCAAATCTGAAAAGTAAAAATAGAGAAAAGACTAGTAAAAGACCAGAGATACTAGGATTCGCTACGGAATACTACCAAAATTTATACCAAAGTCGAAAAGGGGAACAAGTAATAAATGATTATAGTTCAGTAAACAAAGATGAGATTAAACCAATTCTAAAAGACGAAACAATAAAATCTATCCAATCACAAAAACTAGATAAGGCACCTGGATCTGACTTAATCACAAACGAACTACTGAAAACCACGTCACCAGTGATAGCACCTAGACTTACAGATTTGTTCAATGAAATTCTCGAAAAGGAAACCATCCCGGAAGACTGGACCAAATCGATAATCATACTGCTGCATAAGAAGGGAGACAAGGGTGATATAGGAAATTATAGACCGATCAGTTTAATGTCCAATATCTACAAAATATTTTCAAAAATAATACTAAACCTAAAGAACAAGCGGGATTCCGAAGTAAATTCTCAACTATAGATCATATTCATACACTAAGACAAATACTACAGAAATATAGGGAATTTAACAAAACGCATACTACATAGGATTCGTTGACTTTAACAAAGCGTTCGACACATTGGAACATGATTATATATGGGACGCTCTAAAAAGACAAGGAGTACAAGCAAAATACATACGAATAATTAAAAACGTATACGCAGCCAGTACCGCACAAGTTAAACTTGAATCTACGGGCAACGAATTTCCTATTACAAGAGGCGTACGCCAAGGTGATCCTATATCGCCTAAATTATTTTCTGCTGTGCTAGAAATGATCTTTAGGAATTTAAACTGGACCAGAATGGGACTCAATATAAATGGCCAAAACCTCAACCATCTACGCTTCGCAGATGATTTGATTGTGTTCTCAGAGGACGCAGGAACACTGGGACTTATGTTGCAGCAACTATCCAATGAAAGTGCTAAGGCCGGTCTGTCAATGAACTTAACCAAAACCAAAATTATGACGAACGCCCAACTAACAGTAAACAACGAACAAATAATAGTAAATAACGAACCAATAGAATATGTAAATGGATACATATATTTGGGCCAACTTATATCTGCAGATGATTGCATGAACAAAGAAATAGAGAGAAGAATAACTAATACTTGGAAACGGTTTTGGTCTCTTAGAGAAATAATGAAGGACACAGATATGCCAATGACAGGAAAAAAGAAAATATTCGAAACATGCATTATACCATGCCTATTATATGGGTGCCAGACATGGGCGTTAACAGAAAGGCAAGAAAATAAATTAAAAGTCTGCCAAAACGCAATGGAAAGGAGTATTTTAGGTATAAAAAGAAGAGATAGAGTAAAATTACAAGAAATTAAAAAGAAAACAAAATTCAAAAATGTACACACAATCTACAGACAGCTTAAATGGCGTTGGACCGGACATATGTAGAGAGAAAGTACAGAAAAATGGACAAGGATAGTAACTGAGTGGTATCCAAGAGATACCAGAAGAAAAAGAGGTAGGCAAACGAAAAGATGGGAAGACGACTTCAACAAAATAGCTGGTCCGGTATGGACTCGTTTAGCAAAAGACAGGAATACGTGGAAATCTTTAGAGGAGGCCTTTGTCGACAGACAAGCTGTTCCAGACAAACATCCAGTTGCCGAACATACAATGATTAAACCAATTTAATTTAGTAAGTACTTCGAAAGTAATTATGTTAGGCATGTATTAATTAATGAGTATTATTGTAAGATAGAAACAGCAATAAAGGCTATTTTATTTATTTATTTTATTTTATTTATTAAAAATAATGTGCAACTGAAAGACTGTCTGAAAGCTGCCAGCTCTTCGGTCTCCTGTAATGTCGTCGACCTTTTAGCTATTTCTTTAAAAAGCCTTATAGCGCTAATCCATTAGTCTCGACACCGAATGGGACAAAATCATATTCGGAGCCAAGACCCCTGTATTTGCATGAAAAATAAATACTATTTAATAGGTATTGCGTTGTAAAAATTGCATTTATTGAATATGGTAAATCGAGGTTTAAACTGAAGAGTTGAGAGTTGAAAGTGGCACGCTTTACTAGGCATTCCTCTCGCCATTATCCAATTTGTTATCAAGACTTTAGACAAGAACTTTTCTCTCATAAGAATATTTATTTTTAGGAATACTCAGAAGCACGTATTCATTACAACCACAGTTACATAGATTGGGGTATATGTGTCTCCAGCAGATGTAAAAAGTATAATTTAAAAGGAGATATACAACGACTGAGCATTGAAAAATGTCTTAATGAATCATTTTATAACGAACACAGATTAGAGGCAAAAGTAACAGTTCACTATTGTAATAATTCTAAAGAAAGGTATCAGTATTACTTCGGAGATTGGATTTTTGGTTTCGTTCTTGCTTCCATAGTATCGTTAAACATATTAGCTACGTTATATGACATTCGTTTACGAAGATTTAACAATGAAAACGGTAAGTTTTCTATTTTTATACTAATATTATAAAGAGGTAAGGTATTTTTGACGGTTGCTCGCGGCGCAACTACCTACATAGGCTCCGTGCTGTCTTTCTTTAAAAAAAATACTACTTGTGATCAATGCGACTTTAATAAGTGTTAAAACGTCTAATAATACTACAAAGTAATAGATAAATGTATAGTCAGTGCTCAAGAGAACGAAACACATCAGGTTTTTAAAGTGTTTTAACGAGGCTTCAACTGACGTGCCACGCTTTCAACAATCAAACGGATTCATGACACTGTTGCATTTTTGTGAGGTTGTGACGTCTTGTGCTAAAAGTGACTAAATTGTCTTCTGAAAAATCTTAGTGCAAAACGAAATACAAATATTAAACAGATATTAGTCATCCATATGAACTGGTTACAAAATTATCTACTATACCAAACATTGGTTCAGTTCATCATAATCTCAGATAGCCACTTATATAAGGGTATCTTAGCGCTATTACGCACTGTCGACTAGTCGCCGGCGACTCGGTCGCTGGCGACTGTGAGTTTCTACAGTTTAAATAGATGTCTACGCACTTGGTCGTCGGTCGCCCAAGCGACTGGGCGACTCGCCGCGTCGTGGCGACACACAAGCGACCGCCGGTCGCTGGCGACCAATAGGAGCACGGCTTCAAATGGAAGCATTCACACTGCGAGCAACTGTCGTAACGACCGGACGTCGCGCACAAAAATGGCTCAGGCTTTCGATACCGAGAAATTTATAATAGAAATACAATCCCGAAAAGCTATTTGGGACTTATTAAGTGACGAATATTCGAATCGGGATTTGAAGAAAACACAGTGGGAAGAAATAGTGGAGTTATTTGGAGGTGAAGGATTACTAGACGAAGAAAAAAAAAACATAGGTAAATTATAAATGTCATTTATTTTTTTAATGAATTCTGCTCATCTGCCAAGGTAATTGACCCTCAGTCATAAAATAATCAGCAAACATATCTCTGTATGACATGCCACGTCGCGTAGCTCTTTGAATACCTGGTGGCACTTCTTCTAAGCCAGGAATGCACAGGGTATCTTCAAATTTATATCCGTCTCTTTCCCGAACATAGTTGTGAAGAACACAACATGTTTTGGTGATGCTTGTTACTAGATCTAAATTTACATTAATAGGTCTGTGAAAAATCTGCCACTTATTTGCTAATATGCCGAATGAACATTCTATGTAGCGTCGAGCACGAGAAAGCCTATAATTAAATATTTTTTTCTTTGTTGTTAAATTTGATCCACCAAATGGTCGCATAACTTTATCAGATTGTCCAAATGCTTCGTCACCAACAATGACAAACGGTACTGGTATTGGATTTATCGATGAAATAGGCTGATGTTCCGGAACTTGTAAATCATTATTCATTAGCTTTTGATAAAATGTTGAATGTGTAAATATAGTAGAATCGCTATCCTTTCCATAGGAACCAACATCTATGTATACGAACTTGTAGTCAGCGTCACAAATGGCAAGCAAAATGATAGAAAAGAAGTGTTTATAATTATAACACACTGATCCACTATTGTAAGGTTTTATAGTCCTTATATGTTTACCATCTATGGCACCTATACAATTTGGAAAATTGGCTCGTAAATGAAAATCTTTTGCGATTTTTAACCAATTTTCTGTTGTATGTTGTGGCAAACACATGTCTTTCAGTAAAACCCATATAAAATGACAAACTTCTCTTATTATCTCAGCAATAGTTGAAATCCCAAGTCTATATGAGTAATGCAGATCTACAAATTTGCAGCCACTTCCAAGATATCTGAAATAAAAAAAATACAATTTATTTACAGGTCAATCACTTCAAAAAAAATGGAAAAATATAAGAAGCTGCTTTGCTCGAGAAATACGAAGAATAAAAAATACCAAAAGTGGGTCTTCTGCTTCTCATAAAACTCCCTATATTTATTTTAAACAGCTGTTGTTTTTGAAAAATACTGTTGGTAATTTAAATACAGAGAGTAGCATTACGGAAGAAGAAAAGTCGACAACTGATCAAGAACCTTTAGGACCGTACTCTAGGGAAAATATAGTGGGAAGAAAGAAGAAAAAACCTTCAGATGATGGCACAAGAGAATTATTGGAAACACTGAACAAATGTATTGATACTCGTAAAAATAACGCGGACATTTTGGAACAAGATGAGGACAGAATGTTTCTGCTGTCCCTTTTATCGTCTTTTAGGAAAATTCCTGATCACAAAAAACCAGCAGCGAAAATTCAATTAATCACAATGATCGATTCATTCGGAACCAATACGCCAAATAACGTATATCCAAACTCCGTTTGGCGTAATTATATTCTACCAACTTCAGTTCCTTCACCGCAAGAATGCTCAGAGTCGCGAGTTTCTACTGCCACTTCAAGTGCCTCGCAAGATTCTGATTACTTGGACTTATTTTGAATCTTTATTTTATTTTTGTGCTTTGAATTTAAAATTAGTTTATATAGTATTGATTTAGTTAAACAATAATTACATGATGTCAAATTATTTTATTTTATTTATTTACTGCAATTACAGCATCAATGTTCTGTGAGGAACTGCTGCCGATATACAAAATATTTTCGTGTTACAAAAAAGAGCCATACGTGCTATATATGGTCTCAAACCGCGTGACTCCCAATTAATTATTTAAAGAAATTAATATATTTACAGTACCATGTCAGTACATATTTGATTGCATTATATATGTTCATAAGAATATAAAAATCCAAAAAAATCTGACTGTCATAGTATGAACACTAGAAATAAACATAAGCTTGCCATTCCCAAAATCAGACTTAAAAAGACATTTAATTCATTCGTAGGCCAAAGCATAAAACTGTATAATAAACTTCCACAACATGTAAGTGACTTACCAATTCAAAGGTTTAAGTTGCATGTTAAAACTTTATTAATAAAAAAGAGTTACTATAAAATGGAAGACTATTTGAATGATAATAATTTGTATTACTGTTTGGAATCCTGAAATTTACATTTATTTTACATATTATATGTAATAACTTCAAATATTTTTATTGTAGACTTATATTTTTATTTAAACAACGCTTTTACGGTAGTGCCACTGCAAGTCGAGCAAGCACTGTTACTTAAAAGCTCTGGTTTTAAAACAATGAAATTTACACTTACCTTAGAGTTATAAATAATTTTTCTTCCGAAGAAACACATGGTCGCAAATTTGTATCTGTGCCAGTTATATGTGGTTTCAAAAGACACAATAGCTCATCAAACGAACGCACAGACATTCTTGCGTAGTTGAAAAATTTATGAGGGTATTTTCTCACGTCTTCATAAAATAGTTTAAACATTCCTTTTGATCTTCGTTCTTGTAACAAAGGATGTACCCAATACTCTCTTGATTTTCTTTTATTTTTCTTTTTCTTGATTAGTAGCGCTACTATAGCAGCTTCTTCGACATCCATTCTGCACGAATGTACTTGGAATACTGTCGCTCGGCTTGGTCTCCTGCCTAGTTGCCTATGTTTTGGTCGACGAGGCGACCGAGTCGCCAGCGACAAGTCGACAGTGCGTAATAGCTCTAAGTGATAAGCGGTCCAAGTTCGAATAATCTGACTTACACTATTTATGGATTTTATTTGCTCCTGCAAAACAAATATTGTAAGACAAATACGTCAAAACGCCCCCATCTAGTAAAATTTCTAGAATTAGGAAAATATAAATTTATCGATAATAATTTTAACTTCGTTGAAAAATTCATATTTCTTCGGATAGAGGGCACTGATACACTATGGAAAAAATTCATCAAATGTTACTGAACTTACAGCAAGACATCAAACAACAAAAACAAGATATGTTGGACATGAAAGAGGATTTAAAAAACATAATAATTAACAACATTCACGAGAAATTTGTAAACCTTGAATTGAAAAACGAACAATTAGAAAAAACTATTGAAG